ACAGTTTACACAGACATGGTGACTGAATCTCTCGTGAGCCCTGTCCACACCCCTCCCCAGTGAAAATACAGAAGGTGTGAAGTTCAGAACAGTAAGTTACCTCTCTTCTTTTCTCCCTACGCTCCACCTTTTTACTCAAAGGAACAATTTTCCTCCTAGGAGAAATAAAACACATCAAATATTGCAAGTTCACATGGAATTGGTTTTGTAGGGCTCAGCTCAACACAGCAAGACACATGTAAACATTTCTAAAACTTTTGTACTATATTTAATGCTATCAAAAGTCATTTTACATGTATTTGAATATGACTGTTTTTGTTTTTTTTAAGCCTTTCTGAGATTCTGAGGGCATTTACTGTGCTCAAGTTAATGCTTCAGGGAACTAAGAAAAAGGAATTTTCTACAGAAAACGAATATCTTTGGTATTCTCTGTAGGCCATAATGAAAAAGCAGCAGGGCCTAACACTCCTTGAGAAGGCAGTCTGTTTATTCTGTGAATTTCATATCACTCTTTAAATAAGTATTCAGTGACTCCAGAGTAAAGTTCATATTTTTAATGTCATTTTCAAATCTCTAATGTTAAGATTCCCTCAGGAGTTGGAAGATTTTCAGGTAGGGAGGGTAACCAGGTTATATTCTACTGTTTTAAAGGGCACATGTTTAGTCTGAGATAAAGTTTCTTCTTAGTTTATCATGAAAGATTCTACACAGTTGACTGTAATAGAAATCATTAAGGTTTCACAATCTCTCAGCTTCAAGACATGCTCCATGGAAACAAAGATTTAAAAATGAATAAATCATCCAAATACTTACTGTCGCCTTAATGTAAGTTTCCTAATTCGAATTAGGTATTGGGTGATTTTGGTGAATCTCTGCTTACATTTGTGTCGAATGAAACGCGGCCAGTAAATTAGATTTTCATCTATTTGTTCCAGCGCTCTCTCATAGTTTTTACTGAGCCGGACCTACCAAATAGAAAATGGAAGTTTGAATGGTAAATGTAAAAGATTTATTAGATCTTCACTGTCAACAACAGGGCTTAATCAGGATGGCTTTAAAAGCTTAATCTGGATATGGTCAAGCATGTGGCCTTTATGCTTTTGATCACTGGTCACTGTTTAGTCATAAGTCTTACCCGTTCCCAGAGACGCCTGGGAAAAGCCGCTCGTTCTATAACCTTCATGTACAAGTAGCACTGTCCTGAAGGGTAAAGTAAAATACTGTCAGTGTTACTAAAAGAGACTAAAAACCATCCCTTTAAAGGCTGCTGGGTAGTTCTCAGGGCAGTTACACCCAGGGAGTTAGTTACCTTTCTCTTCTTTGATGGTGGCATACTGACTATTTGCCAGGGGACAAGATGACCGATTACACAGTCCAGTCAAGTTGTATTCATTTCTGCAGAAACCTTGAGTCTTGGTTCTAGAAGGAGAGGAAAGAAACAAAGATGCAGAGTCCAGTCAGGCTACATTCATTTCTACAAAAGCCTTGAACTTTGGCTTTGGAATGAGAGGAAAGTAACAAAGATTATCAAATGGATTACCAAGGAGACAACTGAAAGAATCTTTTTTTTGAGACATAGTTTCGAGCTGTCCCCCTGGGTAGAGTGCTGTGGCATCATAGGCTCACAGCAACCGCAAACTCTTGGGCTTCAGCGATTCTCTTGCCTGAGCCTCCCAAGTAGCTGGGACTGCAGTCCCCCGCCACAATGCCCGGCGATTATTTTTTTTGTTGCAGTTGTCAATGTTGTTTAGCAGGCCCAGGCGGGGTTCAAACTGGCCTGCCTCAGGGTATGTGGCCGGCACCCTAACCACAGTGCTATGAAGCTGAGCCAACAACTGAAAGAATCAGTCAAAATTGTAAATTTACACTCACCTTATTTTGAAGGAACAAAATTGTCTGTTTCCTAGTGTATCCCAGATAACCTGCAAGACAAAATAAAAAAACCCATTTCAAATGCTCTGACCCAAGAGATGCCAGAGTATTCCAGAAGCTAGTGCCCTAGGTATTCAGACATTGCCGGCTTTACTGAAAAAAAGAGTCTGTAAGTAATGAGAGAAAGAAACAGTTTTTAAAATAGCCTGACTTGTTTACTTTTCTTTACACAAACAAAAAAGTCTTGTATAAGAACAAAATATAGATCAGCAATGACCATGACTGCATGACACAGAGATAAAATTTCATTAGTATTTTGTAAATATTTTTCCTGATTTTTTC